AACACAAAATTTAAGCTTCTTTAACTCTATTCCGGTGCAAGCCAAGATTCGAGCTTTGCCCTGATGCGTAAGTGCCCCTCCTCTTATTGCTCTGAGAGCGAGCTGGCCTGCAAAATTCTTTGTTATTTTGCTTCTTCTTTCTTCTCCTATGCCCTTTTGTCTTCTAGGGAAGTGGTCCTCACGGACCTGCCCCATGCAAGGAGGTTAGTTTTTAGTCGATAGGCTCACTGGGTGAAACCGACACTACCACCGGATTAGCTGGGGTGTCTATGAAGATTTTCTTTTCCCCGCTCCAATAAAAAAAAAAAACCTTTTTCTCGTACTCTTGGAAAAATTCTGAAGGTTAATGACCCATGGACTAAAAGATACGCTGGGTTTAAAATCGTTATGGACTCAGAGTTTTTATTTTAAGGAGACTGACTGAAAAAAATTGCAAGTACGTGGCACTGGCAAAAACTGATAGAAAAATATGAAAAATTAAAAAATTTCTGCACTGCACTCGGCCTCCAAAAAAAACGAGATGTTTGAATCGGATTATCCAAATACGATTGCATACGTTTGCGAGATAGTTTTCTTCGAATACATTATATTACATGAAAAAAATTACTGTATAGCCATGTTTTGCTTCTAGGCGTCCTCAAGAGTAAAAATTTTTGAATGAGCCTCGAGATTTAGTAACTTTTTTTATTTAACATACAATTGATTCTTTTTCGTGAGATTTTTATTATAAATTCAAGGAAAATTTGCTTTTTATAAAATAAGAAATAAAACTAAAACTTTGTGAATGACGGAGTGAACGGCCTTTGAATTTATTGAATCATGAAAAATTTTATTTTCTGTAAAATAACTCATGTACATTTAACTATATAAGAACAACGAAAAAAAGTAATCATAACAATATGGAATGAATAATGTCTTGGAAAATTAGTATGACAAGACCAAAACTATTACTAAGACAAGACGATACTTGTCGACTGAATATTAATTTAAATCTAGACAAAACCACTAATGATCAACCTTTTCTTAGATACTCACCTAAATTCTTATATTTTATTTTATTTCGTAAAGCCTTACTCTTAAGTTCTCTAATTAGCTTTTATATTAGAAAAAGCTTATAAAAAAGTACAAAAAAGTCATGAGAATACTAATAGTGATTCTGGAGAGTGGTGGGAGAAATTTTAGGAAAAATTCCAACCGAGCCTTTATATCTTCTTCAACGAATTGAAACAAGAACAAGGAGACTCTAACATAATGTTGTTTTAACTGCAGCTGAGCCAACGAATTATAATCAGTCAGGATAAAAAAAGAAGTGAACGAGAGGAAAATATTCAAATTATTATTGAACGATATAACGAAGACGATATACTTTTATACCTCAAAAATATTGGATATCATATGCACTTCTGAACAAATAGCTTACAGAGCCAACGCTATTACTTCATTTGAAATTGTTTTCTGGAAAAATGGTACTTTAAAAATGCAAATTGGGAAAAGTGACTACCCATCTAGTGGGCAGCTCTTCGTTTCCAACAACTACGCCACTGGAGTAGATAAAGAAGCTTTATATTTCATGCTTTTTAACTGTGTTTCCAACTTTGGTGATAACGTATAAGGGAGGGTAGGCTATGAGTCGACAGGTGGGTACACTTGGCATTTCACTTTTTGAAGTAATCAACAAATATCTTACTTTAAAAATAATTGCAGCTACATGTAAAACCTCATAGTTAATTATTCTTTAGGCCTTATATTAATCAACTTATTTGATTTTTAATACTGAAAGTTATAGATATTGGTTGAAAAAAAATAACTGGACGTTACTTTTTAATCGCTGGATGCAGGCCTCATATGTAACTTTTAAAGTTAAAACCAGTCGCATTCAAGAGCCCATTTATTAATCTTCATTTTACTTTTTTAAAATTTGTCTTACGACAAGTGTAACTAAAGTTACAGTAAAATTACACGATAGCTAAATGTGGAGCACAAATCGGCACCAAGATAGGGTATGCTTGGCGTGGTGGCGCGTGAGACGCGAGTGTGTTAGTCAGGCAGCTGGCACAGCTGACATGAGAGCTCGTAGTTTTAGGTTAATAGGTTAAGTTATTTGTTTATTCTTATGATTGTTGCTTTGAGTATAAAAAATGGTGCTTAACTGTTAGAATTCATTACTGCATCGTATAATAAACATTTTTAATAAAACAAATTAATATTCACTAATAAAAACCTCTTTCAAACAACACTCTCAATAATTTCATCTTAATAATTTTTCAGTAACTACGTTAATAATCATGTTCACACTTGCGTCTGTAAAAATATTTAAGTATCATCTGAGATCCCCATGGCAAACGTACCTCACCCGTTACCAAACTGCGCCCCTCGGGTGGGGCACAACAGTGTTGCGATATACCCAAGACTTCTCTTGGGTGCTCTTGGCTAGTAGCGCAAGCGCAGAAGAACCATGCTCTCTCTCTCTCACCGGGCAGGTAGGAGTAGGGGAGCCCCCCTACCGAGTCTTTAACTTTAGCCCCGCCCACTTCTCACAACTTAAATACTACTTTTGACCATAGCTTCTCGTAGCTCTCGATGGTCGAGCGGACTAAGAGTTTTGCGCTCGCTTGACTCGTAGCTGGATACTCTTCGATTCCTGACCATGACATTTTTTTTTTATTATTATTATAATTATTAAGTGCCCCTCC